TCTCTCTCTCTCTCTCTCTCTCTCTCTCTCTCTCTCTCTCTCTCTCTCTGTGTGTGTGTGTGTGTGTCTTACCTGACATCTATGGGCGCCCGACATGGCAGCAGCTGGATCGCGGGGCGATGCACGGGCAGTTTCGAACAGATTTGAATTTGAAACTTACGCTTCCGCCCCCCCTCCCCCTCAACGTGGACCCGATTCCCGTGCCCGCCCCCCCCCACAGATGACCACCAGCGCACTGCAGGCCCCTCCCCGCTGGCGATCGGTACCGGCCCAGGCGAACCCCGTTTGTGGGCCTCCAAAACGCGTTCTCACGAACGTGTTCACCACCCGTTCACGCGAACAGGAAGGGCCCCGAACACGTTCGCCGTGCTACGCAGAATATATCCAACTCTTAAACCACCAGTACCTCTGAGCCTGTTTTTGCCGACCCTGAATTTCACTGCGCTCCGAGTTTGCCGAGCCTGGGTCCCACTCCATTTCTTTATGGTACTCTCACGGGGAGAGAAAAAAAGGAAAAAATAAAAGAAAAGTTGCGGCCCTGAAACTCACAAAAAAAGAAAAGGAAACAATGCTCTGGCCGTGATTGCAGTTGTATACATTCTTGGAAGTGGTAGTGTGACTGTGCCCTCAGTGAGGGCATCTCAGCCCCGTGGCCAGGTTGTCCGATTCCAAACACACACACACAAAAAAAAAAAACAGAAACACGTATTCTACCGTGAAAATGGCTGGATACGTTCCTCTAAGTGCCAATGTGATGAGGGTTACAATCCTCTGAGGGAACACAGCCCGAGCAGATCACGGATTCAGATTGTCAGATTCCAGAAACAGAAAAGAAAAAAAAAAGAAACGGAAACACGGATTCGGTCGTGAAAATGGCTGGATACATCAGGGTTAAAATCCTCTGAGGAAACACAGCCAGCGCAGCTCACGGATTCCGCCCTGCCTCGTTGGCAGGGGACTCGTAATGAACAAACGAGAAATAAAAAAAGGAAACAACAAGTTTCGAATGTGACCATCTTTGCATCTGTACGCCAATCCTTCCGGTCCTCATCCCACAAATGTCCCACCTTGAAAATGCCCTGCTCCGCCCATTTCCATCCATAGGCCCCTCGTGCCCCCTGCCATGGGTAGGGGTCCCCTGCCTCGTCACAAATAAACCGGTTATCAAAGAGCAGCTGGTTAAAGATAGCATCCGCTGTTTCAGGGAGCCGACATCTCACCTGAATCTTCTTCCACAAGGCCAGTTTCTGGGTCCACACAGTCCCCCTACGAATATGACCCATCGCGGAGCTACTGAGCAGGCAGAGGTCTACCAGTTCCCTAGGGACCTGGAGAGCATGAGCAAGATGAGCCAGCGTCACCTCTTGCCAAGTTGCCCCCTCCGAGCACAACAGGGCCCAGATGAGCTGTCGCAATTGGAGTGCAATTATCTGTAAGCGCGGGTCCAGCAGGCCCAGCCCTCCAAACCTTCTTGGTTGGATAAGCTTACACCAGGCAACTCTGCATATGGAATTCTCTGACCTCGCGTTATTTGACCACAGATGCGCTTGGACCGCCCTCCTAATGTACCGGAAG